AGGTACCTGCCACAATGCCCAGCTATTTTTAGAGATGGGGTCTTGCTCTGGCACAGGCTGGTCTTGAACCTGTGAACTCAGGCAGTCCACCCACTTTGGCCTCCCAGAGTGCTAGGATTATAGGTGTGAGCCACTATACCATTTCTTTCAGCAGTTCTCAACGTGTGGGTTGCAACCCCTTTTTAACAATGAAAATACATTGCAGCATTAGGAAGGTTGAGAAGCACTGCTTTATATGGTTCAATTCTGTAAATCAGTGTATCTAGAAATGATTTCAGAGATACAGGCTCATGCTTGCTGTTGTATTTATTGTGACTATGTTGGCCTATGGAGAGATAGGATATATGTAAATTTCAGTAGTCTTTGCATTTTTAACGTTTCTAGGTGATCAAGTTTAATTGTAGAAACTAATTATATTATATATCTTGTTTTCCTTTTTAAAAACATTATGCCTGTTTTTAGCAATGTTTAAGATCATGCCAACGATCTTACCATTCTTAAACCTACCTATTTTAGTATTTCTAGGTTTTCTTCTAGACCTTCTCCATGTATATATTTTAAAGTTCTTTTCAGTCTATACAACATTTTGATCTACATTAAAAAAATTCTAAAATGTAGATTATGAACATTGTTAGAACATGTTGTTCTAAACCTCAGAATTATTTGGATGATTGTACAATATTTCATAGGTGGCTACACCCTTTTTTATGAGACCTCTCTCTCTTTTTTTTTTTGAGACAGAATCTCACTGTGTTACCATCAGTGGAGTGCTGTGGTGTCACAGCTCACAGCACCCTCAAACTCTTAGGCTTACATGATTCTCTTGCCTCTGCTGCCCAAGTAGCTGGGACTGCAGGTGCCTGCCACAAAGCCCAGCTATTTTTGTTGTAGTTGTCATTGTTGTTTGGTAGGCCTGGGCTGGATTTGAACCTGCCAACTCCAGTGTATGTGACTGGTGCCCTAGCCGCTGAGCTACAGGTGCCGAGCCGAAACCTCTCTTTTTTTGTTAAATGTTTAGCTCATTCCCAGTTTCATTATTATGAATAATGCCACAATAATACTAAAGTATAATACTTAGTACTATAAATAATACTTAGCTCCTTTTTTCTTCTTCTGAATTATTTTCTTTGAAAAAGACCTGGGGAGAAGGACTTAATTAAACATCATGCGTTTTACATACACTTAACAAATCAGTAAATGCTTTCCATAAAAGTTTTGCTAATAATATGGCTCTTGGCACTATGTGGGCATTATACAAGGAAGCAGTTTCACTACCATGGTGCCTCTGTTGGGGTGTACAGGTTTTTTTGCCGGGGGGGGGGGTGGACTTTGGGAGAATGAATTTCCCTGACCTGAGTACAGAGAGTTCCTATCTATCTACTTTGGGAGAATGAATTTCCCTGACCTGAGTACAGAGAGTTCCTATCTCTCTTTCACCCACTTTCCCTCATTGTTAGCATTTCCCATACAACTACACCACACTTGTCGAAACTAAGAGCTCAACATTTCTGTTCAGGAAACTCTAGACCTGATTCGGATTTCACCATTTTCCTACTAATGTCCTTTTTCCATGGCAGGATCTGATCCTGAATCCTACATCGCATTAGGGGTCTTATTGATTTTAAAACTTTCATTTTCTTAAAAAAAAAATAGATTTTATTTATTTGAACAGTTTCAGGTTCACAGCAATAGAGCGGAGAGTTCCCGCGCTCCCCCTCCCCCCATGCATGCACAGCCCCCTCCCCCCTCCCCGCCCCAGCTTATTCCTTTTACTTATGTGAGTGCACTGTCAAAATGTTCTTAACGTAGAAAGGCAAGTCAATGGTGGGTTAAGAATAAAAAGGGAAAGGCCTGTTCACCATCACCTGCCAACTCCTTCTGCTTCCTCTGATGTGACCACCGTGAGCAGCTGTGTTTCTTTTCAGCGCCTTCACTGTATAGGCAGAGATAAGTTCTCTAGGTTTATTCTTAAATTGAATTTATATGTAAGTTGGAACAGGTACACTTCCCTATTACTCATTAGCCCTCGTTTGTAGGTGCAAGTTGTATGTGAGATGTTTGTAACTTGGGGACTGCCTGTATGTATTTTTACATAGACATTCATACAGTTGTTTTATTATTTTTCCTTTAAGTGAGATGATTCCCTATGTTAGTGTACATTCCCCTCCTTTTTGTTTTTTGAGACAGAGTCTCACTCTGTCATCCTGAGTAGAGTGCTGTGCTGTCATAGCTCACAGCAACCTCAAGCTCTTGGGCTCATGTGATCCTTTGCCTCAGCCTCCCAAGTAGGTGGGACTATAGGCACCTGCCACAACGCCTGGCTAGTTTTTTTGTTTTTAGTAGGGGGGGGGGGGTTCACTCTTGCTCAGGCTGGTCTTGAACTCCTGGCTTCAGTAACCCTCTTGTCTTGGCCTCCCAGAGTGCTGGGATTGCAGATGTGAGCAATTATGTCTGGCCTCAGAGTTCTACTTTTAAAGCTTAATTTGTATTAGACTTCATTGCACGTGTGGACTTCTTTTTCTGTCTTTAAGAATCTCAAGATTAATGTACATAGTTACCATTCAATTAAAAAAAAAAGAATGTCAAGATTAGTGACTTTCAACTGGTGTGCTGTGAGAAGATCTTAGGTGTGTTGCAAAAGTGTTTAATGATCATTAATCAAATTATTTTTGAAAGAAGTTCAAAGCACAGTTAAGTATTTTCTTTACTCTTTTTTCCCCTTTTTTTTAAAATTAAATGATAGCTGTATACATTAATGCAATCATGGGGTACAGTGTAGTGTTTTCACATACAATTTGAAATATTTTCATCAAACTGGTTAACATTGCCTTTATATCATTTTCTTAGTTACTGTGTTAAGACGTTTATATTCTACTCTTAGAAAGATTCACTTGTACCCTTGAGAGATAAACCATAGAGGTGATCCCTCCAATCACCCTCCCTCCACCCATCCGCCCCCTCTCTTCCCCCTCCCCCTCCCCATATTCTTAGGCTATAATTAGGTTATAGCTTTTATATGAAAGCTATAAATTAGTTTCCTTTACTCTATTTTTTGATCAACATAATTTAAGCGTGCCGTGGAAGTTTAACGTCTCAAGTGTGCTATGAGATAAAAAGGTTTAGAAATACTGCTCTCAATGATATGTCTCTAGAAGGCAGTGCCTTTCAGCCCCGAAAAAGATGGAATAAATTTGTCCTTAGATTCTGCTGTGTAGAGCTGGCTGAGAAAGCTCAAGAGGTAGGAGGAAAAGAAAAAGAGCAGCGTGTATCCGTATTTGTTCAAAGAAACTCTCTTGGTGTGCGGTGCTATATATGGAGAAGAAAACCGGTTTGTACATCACACTCGTGTAGCGCCTTATCCTTAGAGATGGAGTCGTGAGCAGATTTCACAATTTTCACAACATTCCATTTAAACTAAAGGCTGTCTTTGAGACAACGAGAGTAAAAGACTAGTAGAATCCTTGAGGAGTCTCCTAACCCCATCACTCTATTGCTTTTTGTGCTTTCCTGAGAATTTCGAGTAGCTTCCAGAGCTGGTTTCCCTGAGAGACGAGCTGCTGTGCATCCCCACAGGTGCAGAGTGAGATCCCGGGCTCACCGGTCTTTCTCATGAAGCTGGCCCAGCACGCCCGTCACCTGGAGGTGCAGATCCTCGCTGACCAGTACGGGAACGCGGTGTCTCTGTTTGGCCGAGACTGCTCTATCCAGCGGCGGCATCAGAAGATCATTGAGGAGGCGCCGGCCACCATCGCCCCGCTGGCTGTGTTCGAGTTCATGGAGCAGGTGTGCTTCCCAGGGCTGGGGGGCAGCTGCAGGGAGAGCCGCCTCGGCTGGGAGTCAGCAAGAGCTTTCCCTGGTCAGTGGGGCCGGAGGTGGGGTAGGTGTCCAAGAAGAAGAGGAGGCCCGTCCTTGAGATGATGTCAGCATCTTACAGGTGTATTGGGTTAGTCCATGATTTCCCCAATATTTCACACAGAGCAGGTACTCAGTCTGCATTTGATGAGTCAGTGAACAGCCACTGTTTACAGTGATCCATGGAGACCACTGGAAAGCCTTTGTCCCCTGTTTCTCTGCAGTGTGCTGTCCGCCTAGCCAAGACGGTGGGCTATGTGAGCGCGGGGACGGTTGAATACCTCTATAGCCAGGACGGCAGCTTCCACTTCTTGGAGCTGAATCCTCGCCTGCAGGTGGAACATCCCTGCACAGAAATGATCGCGGACGTCAACCTGCCGGCTGCCCAGCTACAGGCAAGGAGAGGGCTGCAAGCCCTGGTGCTTCTCCCCCTACCCTGGGGCGGGGAGGGCCCCCTGGGTTGGGGGGCCCTTTCTGCCCACCTTTTGGCTGGTTGTCCCTGGGCAATGACTGTTTTGATGCATGAGTGGTGTTGGGCACCATGAAAACTGAGAACTTTCCATGAAGTGGTTTGTTACCTTTGGCCATAGAGAAGTTTTGGAAACTGGGGTAAGCCGTGGACTTTCTCCTGGGAAAATACATTTTATACAGCTTCAGGACCTTCGCAGGCCCCCATACCCATTCACACAGCCAGAGAAGTGTTTTTTTAATTATCAACCCCCCCCCATGAGCCTGTTAAGTCATTTTCTTATCCCAATCCCTCTGCTGTGAAATATTAATATCACAGATATACTACATAACTGTTTAGATATATCTGTTCTTTATACATAAAAAGAATAAGATTTTCTTCACTTCCAAGAACAAATATTTGCTTCCTTGGGGATAAGTAAGAATATGTGAGCCAGAGTTATGA